GCAAACCACAGCCACATCTGTCAGTTTTATGCCGACAACGGTGATTAGAATCACCTACTGAATTCTTAAAGCATTTGAAGACTTTGATGCCAAGATTTCCGCTCAGCAGTTTGTGTCTCCGAATCCTAAGACTATGACAAAGGGGGTTATCCTCCTGCAGCAAGATTTCCAAATTCGGTGTTTATTCCACACTATGGAGAACCCATCACACAGACAAAGAGATCATCATCTGGCTTTGTAATAGGACTAGGGATGTTCAGATACCAAGTACCATACTCGGTACAAATACAAGTACAGATACTTTTCCAGCTACAAGACAAGACTAGAGAAAAACTCTAAAGTTAGGAGGCAGCTTTCATTTGTAAGGAGCATACGGGGCTCCTGGGATTTGTACATCATTGTTTTAATGTATGATTTGTTTTATATAAATATATATTTGGGATGCACCGATACCATTTTTCCAAGTACAAGTACTGATACTTAAGTGCTCACAGACTACCCATCACACAGACAAAGAGATCATCATCTGGCTTTGTAATAGGACTAGGGATGTTCAGATACCAAGTACCATACTCGGTACAAATACAAGTACAGATACTTTTCCAGCTACAAGACAAGACTAGAGAAAAACTCTAAAGTTAGGAGGCAGCTTTCATTTGTAAGGAGCATACGGGGCTCCTGGGATTTGTACATCATTGTTTTAATGTATGATTTGTTTTATATAAATATATATTTGGGATGCACCGATACCATTTTTCCAAGTACAAGTACTGATACTTAAGTGCTCACAGACACAAGTACTGATACATTTATGTTTATTGTCATGTGACAGTTTTTCTAAAACAATACAGACTAATGATATCAGGACAGTGGTGGAGCGCCAGAGCCAGGTCCCAGCTGCAACCTCTGCAACCCTGGTAGTTCTCATGAAAATGCCACATATCGGCACTGGTATCTGGACATCCCTAGTAATAAAGATGTTAGTTTGCTGGAACTAGGCATAATGATGACTCAGCTTTAAACTAATTAAGTAGGAGAAGTGAGAAGAGAATTACATGCGAGAAGTCAGCAAAAGATACTAATTTACCACCAAGCAAGCAAAGCTAAAATATTCTTGGATATAGTTGGCCTCTTTAAGCTCCCATTCACACTTGCGTAGCTCTTAAACAAGTGCAAAATCCGGCAATCTTGTGCACGTTCACAAAGGATGCATGCTGTGCCTACAGTACCATTAATTGTTAGTGGCACCCCCAAACTAAGCCAAGCAATATGCACATTTTTCATGAGCAAAGATGTGCAACAAAGGGCACAAAAAAAGCATGGTAAAAAGAAAACACATCTGAAAGACACAAAAAGTGAATGAGCTTCTGTGCCACATTTGCTGTGCTTAGGGCAGCCCATTAAAAAGAATGAATGATGTTGCACTCCACGTGTGTGAATGGGAGCTTAGCCAGCTTAAATGCTCTTGAAAGCCCAAATAAACTTTTGGCTGAATACAGTCCAGGTGCATCAAAACAAAAAGGTGTGCAAAGTCTCAGGGGTCTATTTATAAACAACCTGCAGAGCCATTGGCCCTGCAAATGTTTGCAAATGTGTGCTCCATGTGAAGGGATGCACAAAACGAACAGTCTCAGTATATTTTCCATAAAGATAGTAAGCTCTCATGGCAGGGCCCTCCTGGTCTTGTAACTATAATGTCCTCCTTGTATTGTATACTGTTGGCGCCATATAAATCCTGTATAATAATAAAAATGAGGTTGAATGTATTTTTCATATATTTTGTAATAACACTTTATGGCCACTAGGTGGAGCTGATGAAATACTTCTGCTCCTCAGCTCCACCCAGTGGCCATAATGTGGTATTACAAGTAGACATTTGAAAATACTTTTGACTTCTAAAGAAAATATAACAAGAACGTTTGTTTGTGCAGCCATTCGCACAGAATAAACATGCACAGAGATTCGCAAAGACAATGGCTCTATTGTTTATAAAAAGACTCCTTACAGATAGTTTTCTTTTAGCACATTAGTAGAAAAGTGTCTCCCCTGGCAACATGCTGCAGAGAAGGACCATTGCTCTCTGTGTGGAAACGGTAGTCTCTCTGCAGAGGTCTGGGGGTGCAACAAACCTCAGCAGACAGACCACCGTTTCCAGACAGAGCAAGGGTCATTCTCTGCAGCATGCTGGCAGGGGACAGGCTTTTTGGCAGCTTTTTAAAGAAAGCAAACGGCTTGGCTGTGTTTTTACGGTTGTGTTGTGTTAATGGAGACCATTCATTTGAATGGGCTGCCTAACACACCAACAATGTGTACGCAGCATTTTCAGCAGTGCATGAGAAAGCATGTTGGCATGCCATTCAGAGTGAATGACACTCTATTGCACCAACATCCATTATAGCAAAGGGGGTTCTAAGACTTTTCACACCTTTTGTTGCATTAGGAATGTATTTAGAAGGTTCACTTGGGCATTAAGTATCCATTGTGGCCACTGGGATCCATCCACTATGTTGTGATACTTCAGCCCTAGTTCACACCTCTGCAATGCAGGAGAATGTGCTACGCCACACATGATCTTGCATTGCAGAGGTGTGCATGTTGCAATGTTAGGTGCGCTGTGCTGCTATTATTTCTTAACGGCACCCCAATGCACCCAGCCAACGCATGGTAACCTATCATCATGTGATGTAGTGGCATTTTTAAACGAGGTGCATGTGATTAGGTACGGCAGGCAGCCCCTTCAAATGAACAGGTTGCCCTACCACAACGCACCTGTGATGTCACATCGTGAAGAGACGGGGGCTGATAGCAATAGACACATGCATTCCATAGACCTAATGACACAGTAACAAGCAACATCTGAACATGGGTACCCTTCAGATACTCTAGGAGCTGACAATTCACATTCATAAGAGAATAAGAATGGGAACCAATGAGAATTCATTGCAATGCCTCCAGTATATAGGACTGATCACAGAGGTGGAGACATGTTTCCACTTTCCCATGAAGGTTCTAAAAAAGGAGAAACTGTTTCCTGCTCAGAGAACATTCCCCTAATTCTGCTGGCGACGTCCTTAAAAACCAAAATGATGCTGGTTGGGTCTCCTATTTGCTTGTATGCAATGCTCTGATGCTGGACACATCCTGATGAATACAGACCGATGTATCAATACCAGACCAGATTTTATTTTTTAGAAGTGGCAGACTTGGGTAGCCTTGTGCTCCTCACGGCCAATACGTTGGTTCTACTTGGGCCTAATGATAACCAGGTAATAGCTCAGAAGGATATTTAAATTTAATACTTGATAATCCCGGAAACCATTTTTTCCCTCCCACGTGGCCTACCTGAACCGAGTTTGTTACCCAACCAGTGGGCAATAATATAAGATTATTAGACATGTCAAAGGCTTGTGTCTGCGGTCTCAGATTTTATGCCAGCAGGCTCCGCCATGGTGTCTGCTTGGCCATCCCGGCAGAACAGCACAGTGGGGTTCTTGCAGGCCCACATGGCCACATCCCCACCATTGGCTGGACTGGACGAAGACACCCGACTGCCTTGCCCGTGTCTGTTTGTGTAGCGGTCTCGAACGGGGTCAGCCCGGCCTCTGTTCTCCCTGTTCTGACCCTGCGTGCACAGGTAAGCGGCAATGTTCCTAGTCCTGTAACCCTCTTCTCGATTGCGCCCGAGCAGCATGGAGATATTAGGGTTGCGGATGGCATAGATGAGCGGGTTGATGGCCCCGTTGGCCCACGCCATCCAGATTGCCACAGTGTCCATGAGCGGCGTGAAGGGGTAATCCCCGGCAGCGGCCACCAGGCCCATGACGCAGTACGGCCCCCAGCAGCAGATGATGAAGACAATCATGATCAGCACGGTGGTGGCCGTCCTCATCTCGCTGTAGAAGCGCAGCAGGTGTGCGTAGGTGGTCACGGGCCTGACGCGGATCTCCGACAGCCGGACCGCCTTGCAGATGTTGTAGTGGCAGAAGCACATGAGGCCGAAGGGCAGAAGGTAGCAGAGCACGATGAGCGAGATGCTGTAGGTGGCCCCCAGCCTAGAGCCGGCCGAGTGGAACACGTACATGCAGTGGTAGTAGCCCCTCTTGTGGACTGAAGAAGCCGTTGGCGAAACAGAAGCGGTCGCCGAAGAGCCAGACGCCGCTCCTGGAGAACAGCAGCAGGAAGGAGAAGGGCAGGCAGAGCAGGGCGGTCAGGAAGTCGGACAGGGACAAGGACAGGATGAAGGCGTTGGTCACAGTGCGGAGCTGCCGGTGCTTGGCGATCACCAGGATGACGGCGCAGTTGCCCAGGCAAGACAGCAGGAAGATGGCGAGCAGCAGCAGCGCCTGGCACGCTACGGCCACCCCGTGCAGGAGCGGGCTGCCCCCGGGCTCCTCAGCCGGCTCCGGGGAGCTGCGGTTGGTAGCCGGGCTCAGAGCGGCGGCGCCGTCCCTTCCTCCGGTCGATGCGCCGGTGCTGCCCGGGACGCTCAGCGCCGTCAGGTTGCTCAGCAGAGCCAGGTGTAGCAGCGGCGGCTCCATGGGTCGCGGCTCGGCCGGGCGGAGGCATCCCTCAGGCGGGCCGCTTACTCTGATCACAGTCCCGGGGATGCTGCCAGAGCGAGCTCGCTCACCGGGATCTACAGCGCCTGTGACGTCACCCGGTTACCAGGGAAACAGGATGTCCGCTTTGCTTCCTCTACGCAAAGAGAAGAGAATGGAGGGGCTTTAAAGAGACCCTGTCACGTGACCCGTCATTTCATCATCATGATGATGATGATTCCCATGAGATCTTGTGTGCATTGCACCCATTATATGCATCTTATTTACCTGTAACCCCCCCTTGTGTAGATGTTCCGATGCCCGGAGACCACCACAGGGCACCGCCATGTCACTGCAGGCTCCCAGCTTTCACACAAGCCACAATCTATAAAATATTAAAGTAAAACGAATAGCAAAACCTTGTTTTAGTTTTAGATAGAGTGGAGAGAGAGATTACACCCCCCAGTCAGGTTTTTATTGCAGCCGGTGTCCCCATTAGGGAGATTCACACTATCTGTCCCAGTGATCCTTATCACTGAAAAGTAAAAGAAAAGCCCAAATAGTTATTAACAGAACAAGAAGAGAGGGACCATCTCCCAATGAGGACACTCGTTCTGGTGACAACAGGGGTTTCCCTCACTTTGCATTGATTTTCTTTCTCTTCCTGATGTAGGTATGGCACAAGAAGTAAAAGAAGATCTGACCAATAGCAAAAAAAACCTGACAGGTTAGAGCACCCCCTTGCTCTGTCCATAATGAAAAAGAAAAAAACTTTGGCTTTAGTTCCACTTTAAAGTGATGCTAGATTTGGCCTTTAAACCTTGCATGCAGGACCCTTGAAGTAGTATTAAACTCTCAACCTTTTTTTTAATGATGAAAAGAACAGTCTCCAGCAGCCATCCAGCTACTAGCTTGAAAAAGGGAAAATGAGGAAAAGGGGAGCAGGGAGGAGGGGAGAGACTTGCTTTACAGTGCCTCTCTGTGGAGACACACACGCACAGCTTACTTGCACACACAAAGGGTGGCTCCATAGGAGCCGGCCCGGGTCAAGAGCCACCCTGAGGTCCCATTCACAAATGAGGTCCCATTCAAAAACTGTGGCTTTTACACGAGTTTTGAAAGGGCGTTTTATATCGCGTTTCAGTGCTGAAACGTAGTTAAAAACGCACTGATCAGCTAATTTCTATTAGAATCTATATGGAAAACGCACTGATCAGCGCGAAAAAAGTAGTTCAGGGAGTATTTTGGGGCAGTAGGCGGTTCGGATCACACGGAGCCGTTCGCTTGCATGAACCGATCCCCCATAGGAATATATGGGATTGTCCAGGTCGGCGCGACCGAACTGCCCTGGTGTGAATGGGGCCTAAAACAGGATATCAGGATCAGTGCTCATGGGACCAGCTGATTCTGCAGGAAACAAAAACCTTTAGGCTGGGTTCACACCTGGGCGTACTATAGATGCGGTTTTTAGCTTTTTTTATCGTTCATTGAAACGCGTGTTCAACGCTCGTTTTTTAACCTCCCTGGCGGTATGATTTTCCCCGCGGACGCTCGCAAGGGACAGAACCCGGAAGACGGCAGCGGGCGGAGGACCCAGCGGGGATCGCGGACAAGGTAAGTCCTATGCTGTATTCCCGAGTGTGGCTCGGGGTTACCGCTTTGTTAACACTGAGCCACACTCGGGAATAACAATGGATAAGCGCTGAAATACGCCCAAAAGAAGCTCCTGTACTTGTTTTGGCGTAGGGTGTTTTTCAGCCCAGGTGGGAACCATGCCATGCCAATAGGAATCTATGGGATTTCACTTGCTGAACGTTTTTCAGCGCTTCGATCAGCCCAGGTGTGAACCCAGCCTTAAACATCAAGGAGCAGCCTCCATTGTAAGTGATTTAATCATCATTTGAAATAGCTTAAAAAACATTTTGACTTTAATAGCAACTTAACTATGAACATAAATGTATCTGATTTGTGTATCACTCGGCTGTAGATCCTCAAATCATCTCTGAATTGGTGCCGACACTGTCCTTCCTTCTGGTGGGTGACTACTTTTGTTCCTCATTGTCCCTGTGTGTGTTGTAGTCACCACTCCAACCTCACTCCCAGGATGGAATGTACTATCAATACAAATTAGTGAACTAAACTTGAGATTGTAGTCCATCACAGGAGTGAGTGTTAATATAACAAAAAAACATGCATTTCTTTCATTTTTTCATTCAAGCCTGAAAAGCATTGCAACTGTGATCACTTGATCAGGGCTGCGGAGCTCAGCCTTCTGCACATTCTCATACTGGCAGAGCTCCGTACTGATGTACAGAGTATCAGTTAGGCGAGATGGGGGAAGGACGGCCAACTTTAGTGTCCCTTTAAGGCTGCAACCCAACAAAACTTTGTATCAAAATAAAAGACTATGAATGTCAGCTTATGGGTGGTCAGTTTTGCCTCGTGTCACGTTCTGGTGAGCACTCACTGCCTGTTCCATTTGATATTTATTGTTGGTCTAAATCTGATAGTCCTACACCCTCACACAAAGCAAACCTAAAGAGGAAAAAATGACAATACTAAGAAGTTTCTCACGGTGATTGATCAGATTCATAGCAGAAGACTGTACAAGATTAGTGATATAGGAATCAAAGAGGCAGCAGAGGCCTCTTACGCAATGTACAGATCCAGTATAGCGATCACTGAATTATTTCATTTATTCCTTCGAACGGATTTAACCATTTACCTGGTAAGCCACTAAGAGAATATGGAAAATTCATAGTTATTTTTCCTCTTCTCTGATTAACAGCTAAGGTATTTCAATAAAATAAAAAAAAAGTGATTTTGGAAAACCAGGAGCAGATAATTATCTTAAATGTGGAGCGGGGGTGAAAAAGTATCATTGGCGTCCACAGCTTCAAAAGAACACACTGCACATCTCCATTTTCTGCTTAGTAACCATGTGCAGTTATGTGGACACAGGTTTTACTTTTTGTGGTTCTAAGCAAACTTTCACTAAGCAGCAGGAGGTGCGCAGCGCCTTCCTAAATTAACTGCACTGGATTGCCAGTCAATGGGTTAAACCAGCTCTGCCTTGCAATACATACCATAGTCTGTTGGCTGGCGATAGCTGATTATCCCCAGGAATATATGGAAAATGCAAACCAGAAGCAATACAACAACGTCCTGGGTGTCAAAATGACAGAATGCGTGTTGAAATGGAACAATAAACAAGCAGGAGATCCGATCATCCCGGACTCTGCTGAAAACTGGAAAAATACGTTTCTACATTCTGCCACATGAATTTCTAGAAGTCAAACAAAACTTTCATGGTGCAAAAGTGATTTATTAGTACATTGCATTACATTTTATATGCACAATTACGTTTTTAGTGTTATACAAGATTAAGTATTGATGCCTTTGGCCACTCGTGGAAAACAAAGCTTCTGATCTGAGACACACGCTTTTACATTTTATCAAACAACTTACTGAAAATGACAATTTACCATCTTTAGCTGTTCCTAGGTGCCCCTTACAAGCGCCAGGCAGAGAGTACAAGGATGTCTGACAATACTAGCATTGTGTTTGTGGTGGAGGCTGCATGCTCTGGTCCCACTGAGCAGCATTATCCACCGTAGTCCCAAAGCAAAAAGTCTTGCTTTGTATAGGACCTATTCACACTAACACAGTGCATTGGTGTGGTGTTGTGATAAAATGGTTCCTGTATCAATTTATCACAATGTGCTGCAGCAAATAGAACTTACATTGAGATTAACAAGACACTGACTTATAATAACATATTGCAGTGCTCCCTCACATGGCACAGTGTTATAAACTATGTGTTGCCGTGTGGTGTGCACCAGCCCTGAATATACATCAGCTTCTGGCTCTACATCACATTCAGACATTACCAAAGTCCACCCAGACAGCGGCTACCCATGCTCACTAGCTATAAGGCATTCACAAAGCCTTCTTTCATCTGACCTCGACTTAAAGCCATACTGCTGTCCAGCTGCTGGAAATGTAGCCCCCCTGCACCCCAGATGCCATTTGTACTGTGTACAGTGTTTAAGATTGAGGAAAATAAAAAAGGTGTGTATCTAGATCAATGAATAAAAAAAAAAATATATAGGACAGCGATGGGTGAAATCTCAGGATTATATAAAATCACAAAGCTTTATATGGGAAAATTATAACAAAACAGCATTACATACATGTAGCATTACCCTATCATTGTTCTGACATACAGCTGTCAAATAAACTCTGGTAACACCTTCTCCAGCTTAAAAAATCGATATTGATAAAATATCACATCTGCTAAAAATCAAAATGCTAGTTATGCTGATCCGATGACTTTAATACTTTTGAAGCAGACATGGAACAAGCATGCAGATCAGGAATTCAGACATTACATGGATTCTAATCAATATGCTTTGTCTGGGTCAATGTCTCGTAAAGTATTGAAGGCACAGGATTAATGTTAAAGCCAAGCAACAAATATCAGAGGGAAGAAAGCAATATCAACCCTCGCATTAAACTGAGCACAAGTTCCCTATAAAAGTAAATATTTATGCCATATACTTGTAATGAAATCAAGGCAGTCTTCAGATGTGTAATGCCTCAATTACTAATACTGGATTTCTAATTCCTTGACTTTATCATTAATAATGATTCAGCCCACATGGCAGGTCCCTTTAAAGTGTAACTCCATTTTTGTAAAAAAAAAAAAAAAAAAATACAATACCCTCTATGTGAACTATAGACATTGATAGGATTTTAGAAAGCTATGTGCAGATTCTTACCTTGTTCATTAGAAGTTGTGTTTTTCTCCCCATGACTGATTTCTGATTGGGAGGGTCTGCCTCATTATAACCAGCTGATGCAGTCTCTGGGTTATAATGAGGACAGTCCATAGGCCAGGCCCACACGGGCTATTAGTGCCAATTCACACTGGGCGTTTAATTGCGCGATTTCTGCTTATTTGCTGCGCGATAGCGCAAGAAGTCGCCGTACAATGATTTTCAATGACGCTGTTCTATTGTACAGCTCCATTACGCCCGTCGCATGTGCAGGACCCTTTTTCCCCGCGGATGTCACCCGCTTTTTCTATTTTTGCATGCAGCCCGACGGTGAAGGTCGCGCTATCCCGGCTGCGCGGATCCACTCAAGGTAAGTGTCGCTTAGTG